GCTCTTTCTCATAATAAAATGTTGTAGCTTTTACTTCTGAACCAAATCAATATGTACAACAGTTCCTGATTTAGTGTAGGACGAACTCCCACTCCATTCTCAAATATTCAATGGTCTCATTTAATGCAAAACCGTGGATAGGTGGAAAAAGATGGTGAAACTTATTAAGCCTTGACAAGTGCACCTATTATAATAATGAAAATGGAAAATAGTTAACGCAAGTGAAAAGGTCCATGTGTTCTCATGCATAGAACAGTATTTTCGGAGGAGGACATTCACAAAACTAAGAAAGGCATTGCAAAGTAGAACCGAAATGGACTAGTCTAGCAGCAGTGTGAACCCATTTGTTTTTGAAAAGGGTGCACAAACTGGGAATAAAAAATAAAAGATAACAACCAGCATTATGATGTTCATCAGCATGCTTATCATATGTAACATCATAACATTGTTTTAGTGCAACTAATGAGTACCTGGTGCAGATCAAGCCAATGAACATCTCCATGAAAAGAAGCAAGAAAGAGACATAGCAAAAAGTTATGCAAATTAGTAATCCAAATTGTCATTCAAAATACGAATATTTTATGCACCTTCAAACAATACACAGCCAGCCGCCTCCTAGTTTCCGGGTTGCCGTTTTGAAGGTCAGAAATAATTGAATGATGAACATCCTCTTTCTGCACACACGGTAAATAGAGTTGCAACAAATGTCTGCTCAATGAAGTAAAATTGATGAGTCTGACAAAAGAACTAAATGAATCAACAAAGGTGAAATGCATTATTCCAACAGCACATAAAAAGTGTTCCCCGTACTTCTATTTTTCTATTGCTTGATAAGCAAATAGAAGCAAGGTCGCGCAAAAATATATAAAAGCCAACAAACTGGCTGCACCACTAAGGCCAAATAATAACAATCATTGGACTAAGAAAACTGTTCACTTCTTACAATCCATGTCCAGTATGCAACACTTCATTATGCACATAATTCTGTCTTAAAACTCTAATCCATGATCATCAGCTTCACATATCAGCCTGCTAGAACAGATTAGAGGGACCTCATTTGAATCAATATGCAGCCAAATACAACTCAACTCCAGTAAACATGCCTTAGCTTCAATAACTTCGAGTTAGCTACATCACAGGGATCTATCTGCTCCAAAGGACTCTTAGTAAAACCATATCCAACAGAACCAGCCAGCGGAAATCCAACTACAAAAGCCACAAGCACATTACTGAAACAATAATCAAACTTTATCAGATAAAATGCCCTCCCATATACATGCCATATTTTGTTTTCTGATTGTTTATTCATCTTTGAGATCAGATCTGGGTAGCGCCAGCTATGTTGCAGTGGAGAAGCTAGTCATCTAAATCCCCTTCAATAGGTTACTGGATATGAGAATAGGACTACTGGTTTTCAAATTGCTGGCGGCATATGCCTCAAGGTAACATGGCTTTTACTTTAGGCTCTTTTCAATTTGAATCAAAAAGACAAGAGTCCAATATTAACAGCACAACTATAATATCATGGCAAGCATACTATTTGCCATTGAAACATTTAAAATATTCCTGTTGTATTACACAATTGGTACCATGAAACCTTCCTCCCTATATTCTACATCACAATTCATGTTCAAATTGAGTGTTGATATTTTCCTGAATACAGAGACAGTGGTACTAGATACATGAAGTGTAATGCACATGTATTGAACCTACGGGAGGTCAATCTCAATTGAATAAGACAAATTAGCAAAACGTCCAATACAGACCAACTGCCACATCTTCATGTTTCTCTTTCTCATTTTCGCTTCTTGTACCTCATGTTCTTTCTTTTCCTCACAAAATCAAACCAATTCGCTAAGCACAAGATCCTGCTTCTGCATGTTGGAACTTAATCTTTGAAAGAAATTCCACAGGGGTGTTGCTTAGGGTAGAAAAAACAACTTCTGATGGTTGAGAAAACTTTCCAAACCTTTGGGGTTAAATTTGAGTACAAAGGCGAAAATACCATAATTAGTCATGATTACAGACAATAACCATATTTAGTCATCAGTTACTCCCATTTAACGCATCTGGAGGGCTTAGTAGGATACTATTGTGTTTTGAAATTATCTGTCTGCTGAATTATAGCGTGTTCAGTGATTTGGGAGTAAGTTATAGTTCGAAATACATCATCGCTTATTGGTTTCGCACATCCCAGTCGACAGTGCTTCGTCCAGTACTACATCTGATTGTCCGATTCTTCAACAATCTATAAAAGCCAACTTTGATTCCTCCATTGTTACATCTGGGGCTTCGCCCTAAGTCCGGGTGTTTAGAAATTTACTACCATTTCCGCAGAACCCCAATGCGTATCCACTTTTGTAGAGACTCGAGCCCAGCTGGCTGAAACCTTGAACCTATTGTCCAATGCATTGTCCGAACCCTACTGGTTCCAAAATTTTTCAGAGTTAAACCAGAAATCTGTGCTTCATTCAAACCTTTTTCATGTTTCCATTTGACCTGATTTCCAATTTGTTTAAGCTAGCATCCATCTTTATTGCCCAATTGCATCCTTAACACATCAAGCCTGTTGGAAGAACCTTGAGAACTGTTTAAAAGTGCCTTGGTGGCCATTTGTCGACTAGTTCATGCTTGACACTTAATTTATGTCATTAGGTTCAACCTTCTTGATTTCTCATTAACTTTAGGTCATCACATGATCATCAACGGACCTCGCATAATTCTTCATTTCTCATGTAAGGCCTTGAGGAGACCATCTCTGCTTCACCTAGGGCATGAACTTGTGCACCAGACATTTTTTTAACTTTTTGAGGTGAATGCACAATTTCATAAGGACCCAAAACTCAATTGTAAATCACGTAATACTTAACATTTGAAATGTTCAAATTTTCCTGTACTTGTGACAATGGTTAAAATGATTATGACTGCGTGCAAATCTTTCCATGATATTAGGTATCAAGTTAATTCACAAATAAACAAATTATTGGGAAATAATAATAAATGCAAAGCAGCACATTCAATCAACTAATAAATAGGTCTTCCTCTTCCCTTACTGATATATTTAAATCTCTATTTTTCATTCAGCTGCAGACCGCAGGCACTCAAAGCAGCATATAAAATATGATATGGGTGTAGGTTGTCAGTGCTATGGAGGCTGTATAAGTATGAGATGGTTGTATACTCTAACAGTTCGAGGCATGGAATGACCCATCTTATTGTGCCCCAATTAGTATCATGGTTCAAGATCACGACATTGGCCATTCAAAGAGGACTAAAATGCATTGATTGCGGCATTACAAAATGGTATTGGGAGATGCACAAGAAATACTGCATAGAATATTAAGTTGAACAGGGTGAGAGATTCAAGTAATTTTCTAACGCCGCGGAAGTATTTGTCTGTGATTCATCGACAATGACTCGAACGACTCGTCCGTGACATCTCCAAGTTAATTGTCAATCAAGTGAGACTCATAGTTTACATAGAACATATATTGTTCTCCAAATGGTTGGTGTCATGTCCAATATGACTTGGCCCAGTTGTAGCGGCTACGCTTTGAACCATAATTAGTAGTATGGAATAATGGTATAGTTGTAACTCCGAAACGCGAGATAAGTGTCCCTATAGCTATGTTGGGGTGGTTCAATCATAAACGGTTACTACGTCATATGAATTATTGAATAGAGTTTTCATGTAAAGAGTAGTTGATTTCAAAATATTCCATGCGAATAAATAATCAATTGGTTATGTGAAAAGCTGAGAATTATGGGAGATTTCTATGATGAATTCTCTTCTGCTGACGGTATTTTTGAGAAAAAATGGTAGACCGATAATAGCTTTTCTATTTGTTTCTATGTAAAAAGGTTATGTACATTCACTGAGCATTGCTCACCCATCCATTAATATTTTTTCAGTTTCATAGCTTGAGAGGATCCATTGCTGGGGCTGTAAAACAAATCGAGCTACTTGAGTTCGGCACAAGCTCAATTTGTTTTGGGCTCACTCAAGCTTGCTCATTTTGTAATAAGAGCATAATCTAAACAATTTTATAGGTTCAAGCTAAGCCCGAGTAGCTTGTGAGGGCTTGTTTTATATATGCAATTGCCTAAAACCCCCCACTCTCTTAAACAATGTAGTTGTTTGATGATTCTTGACAAGGTTACGTTGGTAATTTGACCAAATACCATTCTAGAAAACACTTCCTACCTCTCTTTCCATCAATCTCTCTAATCTATACCGTCACCCTCTCTCTTTAAAATAAAAATAAAAACTAGATCTAACTCATCTCTCTCTCCTTCACTCATCACCCAAACCCTTCCTCTCTCCCCAACAGCTACTCTTTCCTCTCTCCACCCCTAACACTTCTCAGGCAATTCATTATGTTGTCGTTTCAACCTTCTAGCCACCAACCCGCGCACATCCACAATGTCTCAATACAAATCGAATCCACGAGTCCAAATTGATAACACTCAACTGGATCTCTATAAAGACAAAGACAACTCCTCTAAGCAAATGCTAAGTTTCTTCACAGAATCGTTGTCTCCCCTTCTTTTGTTCTTCAAGTAATTAGATTTCTTAATTTCTTTGTTTTCTGTGAAAAGTTGTAGGATTTAGTTGTTGGACATTTTTTGTAGTTCACTTGATTTTTGGTTTTGTATATATTGGGGTGAAAAGGGATTCCTAATCAACAGACGCTATCCACTCTACAAGGTTATTGATTCATCTTCTTTCACTGCATGAAGCTTGGTCAATGATGTGGGTCTATCATACATACATGCTTGTGTTGCTGTTTTTTGTCATCTGGATAGATTCTTTGTTGAGAAACTGAGGATTATTGGGTTGTTTCTTCAGTGTTTTAGATTGATATTTTGCTATTTAATACAATCTTGAGCTCGGTGCAAAACAATTCAAACCAAGCCAAGCTCGAACGTCTTGTATTTTATCCGAGTAGAGACTGATAAAAAAATAACGCTCATTCATCAAGCTCGAGCCGAATCCAAACACCTCACAATAGACCTGAGTCGAGCCTAAGCATACCCACGCTCGGCTCAATTAACACCTCTATCCATCCCAGAGGACTAGCAGTGTTTGCTTAGAGGTGATCACAATTCACAAGCAATAGGAAATTATTGCTAATATGCACAATGGAGAGTTCACTCTTTAATAATTGAGATGTATAAACCTAACTTTTTGACACAAATTTGTGAATAATTTAGATTTCTATATCAATGTCAATGATTGATACTGAGTATGAGTCGTTGGGATATTTGAGTGCAAGGTCCGCTCTCCTGGAATAAAACCCCACTAAAATTCAGGTTTGGTATCACACACTTAGTATTTGAAATAGCCACAAAGTACCCATGAGATATTTTATTTGGGCATGCCGAATAAAACAAAAACTAAGAAATGGAATTGCTGCAGGAAAAGTAAGCAAAGATGAACAGGCATTGAGATCCAAAAAAAAATCCGAAAGTTAAACAAATTATGTCACTATCACACCCCAATCAATGAGAAGAATGTAAAGCAATTTCCACCAAAATATATTATATATTCCATAAATTTTAATAGATGTAAATGATGATTATAAACAGAAACAAATAATGGAGTAGATGCATTTACAGACACAATTATGCAAAACAAAAGCCATAAGTCTTACTTGCTCGTTAAGAAAATGTGCTGAAACGGAATTCAATGAATAAGAACTCAGTTTATAATCTCGTTGCATGGCCTGCACAGATAAGAGGGAATAGAATGACTTAATCAATATTTTTTATTTATATGACAACTTAATCGAGAACAATTCTTTGATATTCCAATTTTTCATGGGGATAATCACTCGACAAAGCAATGCATTATGGAGAATTTTGGAGGGGCAATAACCAACTTTCCTTTCGAAAATGCAGCTCAGTAAATTTTCACTGCACAAGTCAAAAATAGCCCAATTGTGCAAACCAATACAGCCCCATTTTAGCATATCAAAACTAACCAAGATGTGCAAGTCAAAACGGGTGCCATTAGTAGTACAAATTAGCTGCATAGATGTGCATAATTAAGTTGTATTGACTTACATAAATGGACTGTTTTGTCTGCACAATAAAGCTACCACATTGGCATTTTGAAATTTATGTAGGGTAGTACCTTCCCTCCCATATGACCTGTGATCTACCAGTGTCATTCTTCACATCTAAGTGCTTCGGCCAGTGTTTATCCCATCTCATAAACCAATATCAAGAAATCAAGAGAAATAAGTCCAATAAACAAACCTGAAACAAATCAAATTGCACTCTCCCTTCGACTGTAACTTCTTTACTTTCCCTTGTCCCATATTGTCTGTAAGGCCATAAGTATCAGTCAGTGAATTAGTGCACAAGTTACTTTAAAGTCCACATAAAATTACAAGAGAGAAAATTCTTTACTCATTCTCAGAAGGAACAATTAAAGTGCATTCCATTTCCCCTTTTTTTATAAATACTAATACCACACTAATACTCTTGACTCCTTGCAGACTCAATCTGCAAAATTATTCAATGATTCTGACATCAGAAACATTGTACAAACTTCTTGTCACCCTTTGGCTCTAAGATAAACAGATCAATTGCTTCAAATATACTCCAAATCACAAGACAACCACACTCTTAATAATGAAGCTTTCTTAAGAAGATAAAATTGACCAAAAATTTGCTAAATAAACAGCTCTAGAGGCCCTAGAACGTTCATTTTAATATATTTGCTACAGACATTTGAATTACCCTCACCCAAGCCTTCTTAATATGCCCGCCTATATCCCAAATCACTATGACACCACCAAACTTACAAAAGGATTAAATTTGCAAAGCTAGTGTTGGCCATCAAACACATTCACGTGCAAAATCTATGTGGTCGAGTAAACATAAAGTTAATGATCAAAATTTCATTTCAAAACAGTCGAAACATCTAAAACGTTTTCGTTTCCAAGGAGACCGAAACGAATCAATGATGAAATCGAAATTCTAATATTTTGAGGTATTCCATAATGTTTCAAGATGTCATGTAATATTTCAATGCTTTTGCACAATTGTTTCAGAATGTTTCAAGATGTTTCAAGGTGTTTCAAGATATTTGATATATTTCGATCAATGTTTTGAAAAAATAATTATGAAATTTTTTATTTTTTTTATTATATTTCCGAAATGGGTTGGAACATTTCTGAAACACGCCGACATATTTTCGTTTCTTAAGTGACCAAAACAATGCACAGAAACAAAATTTTGATATTTGAAAAAAATAACTTTTATTACTAAGAGAGAAAGAAAGGAACACAAAAAAAGATAGTTTCAATAAAAAGAGAGCTAGACAAAATACACAAACATTAGCCACAAGTCATAATCCACTCTTGATGAATAAAGAAAGGAAGGTCTATGAATTTTTTACGAACCACTGCCTACATTGAATTCAACAAGAATTTTACTCTGTAGTCCTTTCCATAGAAATTCCTCATTCTCAGATTTGTCATAAAAAATCCTAACATTTTTTTCCATCCAAAATACACAACAAATAGCAACAATTGCACAATTCCAAAGTATGGAAGCCTTCCTTTCTTTCCAAAGTCACCATAACTCTCCATAAACAAGGAGACAATCTCATGGACTCATCCAATCATTCTCAATTCCCTAAATAGCTTATTCCACAATTGTAATACGATAGGAAAATGAAGAAACCAATTATCACTATTCTCACCAAAATTACTACACTTAATGCACCATTTGGGAGGAAAACATGCATCTGACCTCCTCTTTTGTATCAAATCATAGGGCATTA